TCTTTTTAAAAAAAAAAAAAAAAAAAAAAAGTTGTTTCTAGGAAAACATTGCCAAGTGGTTCTCTTCTTTGTATTAAAGGCTGCTGTGTGCGTTTGGTTTGTACATGTGCTCTGAGATTTAATTAGGCTACTCAATATTTGACACAGAAAAACAAATGGGATTTCTTTATATTTCTCGTTCTGGAGGTTTCAGCAATGTTGATCACTGGAGCAGTTACTATTACAAGTATGTTTAAATGACTTTAAACATTGAGTTATATCTGTAATTTGTATGGTGGAGCCCCAAGTGCATTATTTGACAATAAATCTTTTTCAGGAGTTGTGACCGACCCGTCCTCGCCATCGTCTTTTGGAGCATGGATTAACCATGCTGCCAATCATCATGTTGGTGCTATATCATTTCTCATGGTTGATTTCTTCCTCTTCTTTGGTGTGGTAGTCTTAACAATCGTTCAAGCATCTCAGGTATTTTCTATTTTACGACTCGTTGAAACTTTAAATTTGGCGTGTTTGTTATGTGCTTTGCTTGGGTTTCCCATTCCATCTCGGTACGTAATAATGGAAAGTTTTCTTTGATGTATCCAGATATCTCGCAATATTACTACAAACGAAATGGCAAATGCTATGCGGTATAGTTATCTGCGTGGCCCCGGAGGTCGGTTTAGGAATCCTTATGATCATGGAATCAAGAAGAACTGTACAGATTTTCTGATTAATGGATACAATGATGACGTGGAGTATAGTGAAGTACCGTCACATTCAGAAGAGATGGAAGCAATGTCTGCACCGATGAATTCAACCTTGCAAAATGGGGATGCTTGTTCTCACCACACCAATGGAAGCAACCACGTAGCAATAAATGTGAATTCTAAGAATACAACTAGCCATCACGGCCATTCTCATTCTTCAAATTGTAATCACACTAACCATGGAAAAGCCAAAAACAACAGTGTCCCATTGGGCTTAGGTCTTGGCCTTGGTCGTTTATCGACTCGCTCAGTAGCAGCATCATGATGGTTATTATTGTTTTAAGCCATTCCGGAGTTAGTGCTTTGTATCATGTTAATATATTAAACATTAGATTCAAATGTCCAATTATGGTTCGCACACTCCTTCACGAGATCACTTAAACTTTATGTCGAGTACTTGATTTCGGATATGCTGTTCTTTATACAGGTTCTGGCACACATGGTGTGTAGAAAATGGAAGGCATCGCATCTGGAACTTCATCTGCATGGAACTAGCTGCTTGTATATGAAGTGAGCATAATCTTGGTGAGGCTTCTATTCTGGTTCCAAGCTATATTGTAGATGCTCTTCCGTAGGCATGCACTTATTATTTTGTTTTCACTGCCGTTTTGTTTTCACTGCCGTTTGAGAATATCTTGGTCTATTGTTTTCTTGTTTAGATATGTTCTTGTAATAAATCCTTGTGTATAGTATAAAAGTTGGTCCCGTTAACTGTTCAAAAGTTTGTGGATGTATATGATGAAATGATGTAAAATTAAGTATACACTACCACAAGTAGTAAGTAATAAGTAAATTATCGATTCTACAGATAACTTATCTAACTTTTTAAATAACACAAAATTAACGAGAACAATGATCTCTACTGGTTATTTACTTGAAATAAATTGATGTGCATTACTAAATCTTGTTCATGTTCTGCTCTGCCAACATCTCTTTCGAGGTTAGTTTTGTTTGTCTCTAAATAGCTCTACCATATCCAGAATTTAAAATAGTATTATTTACATAACATAAGCCCTGTCTAGTGTTTCTTAAGCTTTCGCGGAATTCATCAGTGAATCCAATAGAGCCAAGTACTCTGTGATGGCTTCTCCTTCTTTTGTTACATCCATGTCGTAATCTGATACAGCACTAGCCCTGTCGAGTTCTCTGGCAAGTTCGCTTTCCATCTCAGAGTCTCGGTTTTCTTCGACAGTAGAAGGGCCTTCCCCATTATCAAAGTTGTCTAACATGTCTTGGATTTCTTCAATGTTTGAAATGGAGGAGCTTGCATCCTCGGAAGCTGAGGCTGTAGGGACCGAGTCGGGTTGTCCATCAACCGTAGATTTAGTATCGGGCAGTGATAATAAATTAACTGCTTGCTCTAAGGAGCCACCAGCCTGAAAAGCTGCAATGGCTGCACAAAGTAACAATTTGAGAGCATTACTGATTGAATTGAAATCTCTCTCAATAATATAAGGTCAACAAGTTTGGTTTCATTAATAAAAATAACATACGTACCTCTTGTTCTATCAAACCCCATGAGAACGAGCTTGTCGACTGCAGCATCTGTTGTTTGACGCTGTCGTTTCCTTTTCCTCGACTCTACAGCATTCTGGAATTCATGAAACGAGTTAAATTACGTTAAAGTTCAAACAAAAAGATCGACTCACAGTAAGGATACAATCCAAGACACCTGAATAAAAGAGTTAGTTTCTGGATTTATCAAATCATCCAATGCTTTTTGTATGTCATTCTCATTTCTTCTCAGCGCTTCAGCAGCCAAGTTTTTTTCATACCTGAAAAACGAAGCCAGTTTTAACGTGAATGATAACTACAAGGATGCTCAAACTGACTGCTGGCATGTATAATTGCATCTCGATCGATAGAAGTTCTCACAAATCACAATGTCGTGGTTTGCTAAAGAGTTTAATCAAAGAAGCTCTTAGCAACATCAAACCTAAAATGAGCTATCTTGAAAAGATGAAAACATACCCCTATTTGTTGTGGAATAAGAATCCAATGGCAAAAGTCAACATGAATCCATGATGTTCAAAGCTCAAACTATCCTGCCTACCTTCAACTTTTCCTAGTCAACTACATAGAGAATCGCTTCGTGGAATGGGCAACAAAGAGTGAAGATAGAACCTAAGAAACTATGTCGACCAACCGATCAGTACTACACCAAATAAAAGAACCTAAAAAACTATGATTTTTTCTGCCATTTTGGCACAAGAAAACAACATTGGTTAGTTTACTTACCCTATAGATGCCAGTTCTTTCAATCTCTGAAGATCAACAGCTTTCTTGGAGGGTGTCATTCCATACCGTTTTTGCTCCCTGAAAATTTTAATCACGTTATCAATACTATAGATCGATTAAAACCTTCCGGTCAAAAATAGAAGCTACTTTTGCTAAGAATACGTGCTTGATTTCCTTCTGGCGTTCGATATCCTCTTCCCGTTTTTTCTCTCTCTTTGTTCTTTCCTCAAAAAGGAAATCAACAGCCTTGCATACATCTTGATGGCACATACGGAGTGCTCTCTTTGCTTCTCCTTCCTTAAAGCCCATGTCCATAACATGGGATAATGCTTCATCTGGCACTTGTAGCTGAAATTTAAAGAGATTGTAAAAAGTTGCATAGAAATACAAGAGGCCGTCTTTAAATAAAACCAAATTGCTCGACATATATGAGGCCTGATACCTCACAGCTAACACACCCTTCAGTGCTATAAAAATTTGATTGGCTCGATTCAACCAATTCAGTAATGTGATAAACTAACCTGAGAATATTTCATTTGTGCTGAGTTGATCGCTTCCCGGGCCTTATCGAACATACAACTGTGGTATGCAGCCACCCCTTCCAGGAGCTCCAGTCTCAAATGTCTGACATGATAAGAAAACTTGATTAGCTTGAATCTGGAAACCTATGCCTCAGACTATTGGCTGACTTACTTACAAGGCAAGCTCGGGATGACAACCAGCTTGAAGGAGTCGAACTCGGGAAGAGTCCTTCCCATGAGCTCGTTCAATTCCTTCTCTAGCCTTTGCAAGGCGTAATCCTGCATCCGAGAGCCACTTGATGTCTTTTAGCATGAAATAGCACCACACCATGTCTATTTGAAGAATTGAGACGTTGTCAACAAACTGACAGAAAAAGGTCAAACTCAGTCAGCAAGCTAAAACCCTGATGGAAACACCACCTTCGGATACATACAGAAGAAAAGGAAAATCATTAAAATCTGTATATTTCACGTAGTCTCAACCCAATATCTCAAATCGTCACCTTCATAAACAGCACTGAAACCAACCTCGAAGTAACTAATAACATTTAAAATATCTAATACCAAATTAAGTTAAAAATGAATAGTCGAGGATAAGTTTGCCTGAGTGGCATCTGTTGTTGGACAAGTAACTTAGCTTAATCTTTCACGAGTTCAAATAACTTGAGCAATGAGCCCGGGAGGGGGGAATCGATCAGGAAAAAAAAACTTAAGGATAAAGAATGACTCGTTCACCTCAATGACTTTTGGATTGCAAAGAGAGAACGCCTCCTACGAAAGAACGAAATCCACATTGATTAGTATTCTCTCATAACAATAAAAAATTACTGATGTTAATATCTAGTACAACCTTAGGATAATCGAATCATAAACCGTGTTTATGCATCTAGAATTTAAAGATAAAGACAACAACAGGAGAATTGATATAGAGAAGCAATGGAAGATAAATGATTAAATTCATCCAAAAGTAGGAAATGGCCTTGAAAGACCAGTCTTAGGCATTAGAATTTGGAATCATTGCACACTCCAAGAAGAGCATTTCAAAATTAGTTATCACCAATAGAGAAATGAATAGATGTATCCAATCTAGCAGATAAATCATACTGGATTTGCAACAGGCCAAACCCACTGCTAACAAAGTTTGTCCTCTTTGGGTTTTCCCTTGCGAGCTTCTCCTTTAAGTTTTTTTTTTTAAAACGCGTCTACTACGGAGAGGTTTCCACACCCTTGTAAGAAATGCTTTGTTTCCCTCTCCAACCATTGTGGGATTTCAAAATCCACCCCCTTGAGGGCCCAACGTCCTCAGTGGCACACCAATCGATGTCTGGCTCTAACACCATTTGTAACAGCCTAAGCTCACCGCTAACAAATATTGTCCTCTTTGGGCTTTCCCTTTCAGGCTTCCCCTCAAGGTTTTAAAAACGTGTATACTAGGGAGAGGTTTTCACACCCTTATAAGGAATGCTTTGTTCCCCTCTCTAGTCGATGTAGGGTCTCACAGGATTGGTATACTTTATTTTATTTCATTCTATAATTATCTTTTGGGGGAGATGTTCATGTCGATAAATAGTTTAATCTTCATGTTCATCTTAAATCATTTGGTTCTTGTAGCTAATTCTTAAAAAAAGGGGGAAACAGCTAATATTTCGTAGATAATATTGAAGACTAATTAATATGATCAACCAGTAACAGACCTCTCCCATGATGAGTACTTCTAATGCTTCTTTGTAATTTCCCTTTCTTATAAGCTGCTTTGCGTTTGCATGAAGCATCAAGCCCATCATGATTGCCCTATTGAATGGACAAAATTCAATCACTGAAGAACTATAAACCCCAACATTTGAGATGAGGGTTCGTAAGATTTGAGATGAGGGTTCGCATCGTGAAAGCTATCTATCTCTTACCTTTGATCAGTTTCAGACCCCAAATTAACTTTCTGTCCACTTTGATCCTCAAGTTCTATATTGAAATCTTCAACTGGGAGGAAACCATTAGCATGCCTCTTGGCTAAAGCAGTGGCAGCTGCCCTGTAAATTTAGAGAAGATGCCAGAAAATGAGATAAGAAGATATCCTTAAAACTTTTCACAGTGACTCATGACGACTCGTGGGGAAGAATATCCTCCAAAAGTTGATTGTCACTCAATAAAAATTGCTTTTATAACGGCCCAAGTCCACTACTAACAGATATTGTCCTCTTTGGGCTTTCCCTTTCGGCCTTCCCCTCAAGGTTTTCAAAATGCTGTCTGTTCGGGAGAGGTTTCCACTAAAGAATGTTTCGTTCCCCTCTCCAACTGATGTGGGATCTCACAATCCACCCCCTTCGAAGCCCAATGTCCTCGCTGACACACCACCCAGTGTCTAGCTCTGATACCATTTGTAACCGTCTAAGCTCACCGCTAGCAGATATTGTCCTATTTGCGCTTTCCCTCTCAGACTTCCCCTCAAGGTTTTTAAAACGCGTCTACTAGGGAGATGTTTCCACACCCTTATAAAAAATGCTTCATTCTCCTCCCCAACATTCCTGAACTAGATGCTTTGCTTCCAAAATCAACTGTTAAAAATGCCTCATAATACTCATAGAACAACTGAAGCTCCAAAAGCTGAAGAAAAATTTTAAAAGATGAATATGGTATCTATTACCATCCCAAAGATTGGTTTAATCCCCACCTTGCAATACTAAAACTCAGAAAAGCAAGCCCATTAACGCAAAAAGCTCTCAGAAAACAGTCAATTTCATCATGAAATCAACCATTTATAAGACCAAACATATCAAAATCTAGCAACCATTTTGGAACTTAAGACCACACAATGAGTTGATTCCAGAAGAAACTCAAATTTCAGTCGAATTAAGCAACCAACGATGGCACTGCACATGCTTAATCAAAAGTAGATATGAACATAATTAGAGAAACAAAAAAGAGTCGAAGAATCACTTGACTCGAGCAAGCCTGTTAGAGCGTTCTTCCTCAGCCATCAACTCAACGTTGAGTGATTTGCCCTCTTCAGTAGAAACCCGCATAGCAAGAATCCGAGAGTTGTTCTTAACACCCAAATCGAGTAGTTTCTCGCCTCCATCGCCATCTTTCAAGATTCTACCACCGCAAATCAAATTGATCGACTCAACCCCACAGTTCGATCGCCTTGCTATTTCTTCCCTCAACATGATCACAGTCCAATTATCCAGTTCCACATCCAAAACACCACTCCACGGCCCTGAAATCTTCAATTTCGCCATGAAAATCGATCAAAAACAGGACGGATTCCAAAAGGGGTAGTGAGAAAGTTAATGACTGAAGCGATCGAGGTGGGTTTGATTGGGATTTGCGAGAAGGAGGCTAAAAAAGGTACGAGGAGGCTTTTCCTTGTTCATCAAGTGTTGGAAATTTCATCGAATTGGACTTAAATTCTTCGCCCCCAAGTTTGTTGATGCATGTTTGTGGCTTGAGGGCCCATTTCTCATCGCTCAAACCGCACTCTTATGGCCTTATCCAACGATCTCGACTTGAAGAGGGAAGAAAGATCCACTTTTGCAACTCAAATTACAAATTTATCGAAAAAAAAATCTATCCATTTAAAGGATTTTTATTTTTATTTTTTTAAATTAAGTTTATAAATTATTTGTTTTGTTAATAATTTTTTATAGATATATTTTAAAAATTCAAACTATTTAATAATATATATATATATATATATATATTTGAAATTCGGCTTTTTTATTTAGAAAATATTGTTAAAAATTGTTAAAAACAAACATAATTCTAAAAAATAGTAATAAAAATGGTTTAGTTCTTAAATTTCGAAAATCAATTCTAATTTTTGGGAAGAAATTGGTTGGATAGATATTTTAAGTATGATCTTATTTTAGAATGTTATTTCAAAATTCAAGCTAAATTTATATATATATAATGACTCCCGTTCACAGCTAGTGAATATTATTCTCTTTAAGCTTGTCCGACTTTAAAACATGTTAGCTGGGGAAGGTTTCACACCTTTTTCCACACTCTTATGTGGTTTGTTCTTCATCCCAACCAATGTGTGACATCCTAATCTACCCCTTTGGGACTCAGCGTCCTCACATCCTAATCCACCCCTTTGGGACCCAGCGTCCTCACATCCTAATCCACCCCTTTGGGACCCAGCGTCCTCACATCCTAATCCACCCCTTTGGGACCCAGCGTCCTCACATCCTAATCCACCCATTTGGGACCCAGCGTCCTCACATCCTAATCCACCCATTTGGGACCCAGCGTCCTCGCTAGTACTCTTTCCTTGGGACCCTGCTAAATCCACAACTCTTTGGGGCCAACATCCTTACTGACACATGGTCCAGTGTTTGGCTCTAATACTATTTGTAACGACCTATGTCCACCATATTGTCCTCCATAGTCCGATGTCTGGCTCTAATACTATTTGTAACGACCTATGTCCACCATATTGTCCTCATTGGGCTTTCCCTTTCGGATTTCTCCTCAAAGCTTTAAAACGCGTTTGCTAGGAGAAGGTTGACATAAAGGTGTATTGTTTTTCTCTCCAACGAATATGGGACATCATAACATATTAATTAATTAATGTTTATTTAGAAAAAGATGAAAAGTGTATTAAAAATTGTAAAAATAAAATAAAATAAATACAATTCTATAAAATAGCAATAAAAATTTGGATTTAGCTTTTAAAATTTGAAAATAATTTAAAATGGTTGAGTGTTTCTTTTGTTAAATTAATAATAAAAAGAAAACCCAAATATTTATGAACATTTAAAAAAATCAATAATATCCTTAAATAAAAAAATACACAGAAAATTTGAAAAAAAAAATCAAAATTATTCCTATTATTATTAGTTTAATATCAATAATGTTTCAAAAATACCAAATTTTTTTTAAAAAAAATTTAAAAATATACTTATAATTAGTATATTAGGTAACCATTAAAAATATTAATAAACTTTTGAAAGTAATATTAATATTCTCAAAATTTTAGAAAAAAAATTAAAAACAAAAATTAAAAATTTGGAGATGTTATATCAAAATTAAATTTTAAGTTTTTTTTTGTATTTTTATTAATTTAGTGTTTATTTTAAATTACGTTTATTTCATGGCATCCTTTTATTACAAAGGACAGCGATATTCAAAGTGTTCACTGTATGCCCTCTGACGCCTAACGCCTCCCCTCTCCGCCATGGCCGCTGGAGGATTCAGCGGCGATAAGAGAACCACCAGAAGCTCCGCCATTAACGCCGGTGCCGTCACTACCAGAAGCAAGGCCAAGAAATCCGACCGGAAGAACCATCTCAAACACCAACTGGTAACCCTCATCGAAACCACCATTTCTTCCGCTCACTCATTTCTCTCGCTCAACGATCTCCACCTTCTTCCCTCTCAAACTCTTGCCCTAGAATCCTTCATCTATTCCACTTCATCCTCTCTTCAAGCTCTCTCTCCTTGTCTCCCCAAACTTTCCCTGCATCCGCCGCCGCGGCAATGCTGGTTCCAACGCTTCCTCTCTGCGACGGCGGAGGTTGATTGCGACCCGAGATGGAATCTCTTCTTCCGTATGTCGAAATCGTCCTTCTCCCTCCTCCTTCGTCTCCTTTCCCCGATTCAAAGCTCCTCATCCACTTCCGTTCCGCCTGATTGTGCTTTAGCCGCTGCGCTTTTCCGATTGGCGCATGGCGCGAGTTACAAGGCGGTTGGGAGGCGGTTTGGGATCGATTCTGCTGACGCTTGCCGCTCGTTTTATGCGGTTTGTAAGGCTATCAATGACAAATTGGGGCATTTGCTTGAGCTTCGGTCTGATATTGATCGGATTGTGGTGGGATTTGGGTGGATTTCGCTTCCGAATTGCTGTGGGGTTTTAGGACTTAGAAGATTTGGGGTTGAAGGTGACCTTCTAGGTAAAGACGGATCGCTTCTGGTTCAGGCATTGGTTGATGCTGAAGGGAGGTTTCTGGATGTCTCTGCCGGATGGCCGAGCTCAATGAAACCTGAAACAATCTTGCGGCAGAGCAAGCTATATGCAGAAATTGAGAAATCTGGTGAATTACTCAAAGGCCCTGTTTATAATCTCGACGATGGAAAGCCCATTTCCCAATACTTGATAGGTGATTCTTGCTTCCCCCTTTTGCCATGGCTTTTGACACCATACATGAAACTGAACGAGGAAGATAGCTCTGGTTTTCCTGAGAGAGCCTTCAATTCCACACATAACCGTGCAATGGGGTTGGTTAACACAGCGTTTTGCAAAGTCCGAGCTCGGTGGAAGCTTCTTTCAAAGCCATGGAAAGAAGAATGTAGAGATTTCTTCCCATTTGTTGTGTTGACTGGGTGTCTGCTGCATAATTTTCTCATTAAATGCAGTGAGAAACTAGAAGAAGAACAAGATGAAGAAGACGGAGCAAGTAGTTCCAGTGAGGAACAGAAGTTTCCTCTTTATGATGGTGAGACAGGAGATGATAGAGGTAAGGATATCAGAGATGCGCTTGCCTTGCACTTGAGTAGGCTGAGCTTCAGAAGATGATTGCTTTGAACATCTTGGTAATTTTCATCTTTCATCAGCTGTATATATTCCCTTCCAATCTTTAGAATATTTTGTCAAAACTGTTGATTGGAAGTCCTAGTTTGCTAGAAGAATATCCATTTTCTTTTGTCAACTCATTAGCTTCGTAATGATTTGATTCTTCTTATAGTTAGAGAAAGGATTTTTACACTTACCCACCATGAAAGTGACTTTGAAATTATTCTTTCTATATATAAAATTTCACAGAATCTACAGTTCATGATTTGGAGTCCTCGAGAACGCCATGTTTTTTACATGAATTATTCCATTAAGTGAATAGTAATCACTTTTTGAATCTAATCATCTTAGTAAATTAACTTGAACCCCATTTGGATTTGCTCTGGTTAAACTTGATCTTGAATTTTAGTTGAAGTGAAATAACTATGGGTGTTCTTGTAATAATTCTTATACAAAAAGGACAAAGAAGTGATGAGCTTTCAGTACTTTTTAAAGTTATATAAATGTTACCATTCTTCATCACAGACCATCCTAAAAGGCTGAAATCTCTGCTCAAAAGCATCTTTTTTGAACACCGCCTTTGGCTGGCCAAGTAACGTAACATGTTGAAAACTTCAATTCTAATGAACTTAAACACTATAATTCTTGATTATGTAGACAGTTACTTTACTTTTCTACTGTATGAAATCACAATTTGATTCAACTTCTTTTATATGCTTATAACCAGAGGCCATGAATGCAATATCATGTTGAACTCTGAGAAACAATTACAAATGTGATATTAAACTAGTGAGAACATATACTACACTTGATCTCAGGCCACCGAGAAAGGTTTAATTACATGTTAATGTTGAGGATGGTTGGGAGAGAGTCCCTCGTTAGGGAATAATCATGGGTTTATAAGAAAGGAATACATCTCCATTGGTACAAGGCCTTTTGGGGAAACCAAAAGTAAAACCACGAGAGCTTATGCTCAAAGTGGACAATATCATATCATTGGGGAGGATCATGATTCATAACTGTTCATTTTGTGGTTACTTTCTCATTGTTTTGCAGACTATAGCACATCAAATTGGAGGCTAGCTTGGCTTTATATCTCTTCTTTGCTTCTCTCAATCTTAATGAAGTTCTTGAATTATCCTATCATTACATGAGACTTCAGAGAATATGATAAGTTCAATTTCAGATATACTTCTATCTAGAGGGCTACCTGTTTTATATAGGACCTTTTCACAGGCAAGGAGCTTAGATTGGAACATTTTTGCAGATTTTAAGTGGTTTTTAGGATAAATTCTTTGTGTTCAGGATGAACTGATATATTTATGTTATTCTAAACATCCAACAGGGTACCTTTTCTGTTTGATTGCCAACAAAGGTAAACTGAAAAGATTTGTAGTTTATAGCATATAAACTGCATTTGTATTCAAAATTCATTTTTACAGGATTGGGAAACTTCAGAACCTGGCAGTTCAAAAGTGAAATGTTGAGCTCACAACCCCAGCTTCATTCAAAATTATTCAAGAAGACTCTATACAGACAGCACAAAGGATTTATTTTAACAGTTCCACAAGATCAAGCACAAAGTCTTCACAGTATCAAACAAAACGTAGTGAAGCTTGACAAAATCATTGATGAACTCAAAGGTACAAAATTCAACTTCTTTTATCTTCAAACCTTGATCATTTTCCAAGGATTGATTTGATCCACCATATTCCTTTAGTATCTTTTGGGCCTTCATCTCCCTCTGGTGGAGGGTCTGTGTGTGTTGTCCTGCGCAGGTTGCTCACATCATAACCCTGTTCCTTAGCTTTCTCCACCAGCTGCTTATATATCTCCTCATCCAAATGATTCTGTCTGCACAAAATCTGTCAAAAAGACGCCACGAAACAACACGATTCATAAACCTTCCATCATCATAACTCAACCGTTAGAGCCTGTTTGGTAACCATTCCTGTGAGATCCCATATCGGTTGGAGAGGAAAACGAAGCATTCTTATATATAAAGATGTGGAAACCTCTCCCTAGCTGAGACGCGTTTTAAAAACCTTAAGAAGAAGTTCAAATAGGACAATAGGTGGGCTTGGGTTCGTCACAATTCCATTTTTGGTTATCTATTTTTAAAATTTATACTTATTTTCTTACCCATTCTTCACTTACAAAGAAAGTTCGATGTCTTAGTCAAATTCCAAAAACTAAAACGAGTTTTTCAAAACTACCCGAATAGTTATCATGTTAGGAGTCACGACCTTCCACAATGGTATGATATTGTCCTCTTTGGGCATAAGCTCTCGTGGTTTTGCTTTTGGGCGTCCCAAAAGGCCTCATATCAATGGAGATGTATTCCTTACTTTAAACCCTAACGTGGGACTCCTTTCCAACAATCCTCTACATACCACGCCTGAGATGTACATTTCGTTAGAACACTTCACAAACAACATCGGAAACTCCCCATGGAATCGTAGGATTAGCAGAAAAGATAATTGAAATCATACCCAGAGGTAGTTTCTACTAGGCTGACCAATCAAAGCACGGTGATAATCACCATCAAGATACAACACCCAGTAATCTCCAACAACAGGAACGATAGGCATAAAAGGAGGAACATCGAATTTAACTTGGAGCTTAGCTTCATCACTATCAGGGTTGGCCTTAACAGCAGTACCCTCAATGAAGCCTCTCTTGCCATCAACCCATGTCTCATTTACGACATTCACCAACCGGTCGTCCCTCAGAGTGTAGGTCGCTTCTGGTATTGGCTCCATTTCTGGGCTGGAACCTCGAAGGAAATGAAGGTATTTCATACCATCGACCCATGTACCTCTGTAAGTCGACACCCTTCATGGCTTCCATCAATTTCTTCGCCATTGTTGAATGTTTGAGTCTCTGAGAGAGATCTGAGAGGGGTTTTGGTTCTGTTTCTTGGTGCTTTGATTTGAATATTTGGGTGTTGAAGTTAAGATATCGATCCGTTTTGAGATTTTCTAGTGTGAAAGTTTTATATTTAAGGCTTATTATCTTAAATCTTTTGAAATTAAAAAGGAAAAAGAAGTTTTTTTTTTTTTTTTTTTTTTTTTACTCGTGTCAAATTCATAATGAAGTTCATTTAATTCTACTTTTTATCCATTTTTGGGTTTCTTATTTTTTTAGTATTATAATTTAAAATATTTTGAATTTCAAGTTTGCTAGTTTTTTTTTACTAGACATATGGGTCTCAAATTTAAATTTTAAAAATTAAAACGAACTCGAGATCTAAGTGTGCTACTAAAAAACTTAATCAACCCGAGGTATCATTTTATTTGGTTTTATAAGTTACGTTGGAAATTGATGGTTAATTAAATTTTATAAGTTAGGTTGGAAATTGAGTTTTCAATTGAACCATTTTTAATTCGTTATTAATCTTAGGAAATAGTTTAAAAAAAAAAAAAAAAAAAAAATTAAGGATACAATTATACATACTATATTAATTTTAATTTTATTTGATTATATATATTTTTATTATTTATTTTTCGATTAATCTTAAAAATAAAACTTTAAGCTTTTAGAAAGTTATTTTAAAAAATATATATTAGGGTTGAATTACAAATCTTAATTTAATATTTTAAAATAAATAAATATTTTTTTTATAATATAATAAAAATATTTTTTTTTTGTAAATAAATATTTTTTGTAATATAATGTAAACTCATCTGTCTGCTGATTCTTCAACATCAGTGGCCTCCATTTAGTTTCACCCAAGCTTCATCTTGGTCATAGATAGATCACTTAGGTTCGGGTCCATAACCAGTGACAATTGCCCCATGAAGACTCGCTTTCGTTATGGCTCCGGTGGGTTCCCTTAACCAAGCCTCTGTCTATGAGTCGCCGACTCATTCTTCAACTGGCACGCAGGGTCGTGTTGATATCAAAATTTTGAAGAAAAGTCTACCAAAATTTCCTATTTTTGAAATATATTGAAATAGGAAGATGTATTATTGATTTTGAAAAGTGTGTGTATATATACACATATATATGGTGGGGTTGGCTTTATTTAATTATTATCTCCTTCGAATAGCTATTGCATAATGAATTCAACTGAATCTAGAGGAAAAAATGGAAACTTTTTTTCTTTTAATGTTCATACACACCCACTTTAATATTTACACCCACTTCTCCAAGAACAAATTGTAGCTATAGCTATGGTTTTGTTTGTTTTTTTCTCTCTTTTTTCTCCCCATTCATAGATTTCAAACTTTCACTGCTGCAATTAGATCTCACTTCCTCAGTTTCTCACTAACACGCAAAGAAAACAAGAACCAAAACGGAAATTGGAAGATCTGGGTGAGCAATGTCACGCCGATCTGGGGCTTGTCTGCGCTGTTGTCTCGTGTTCTTCGCTGTAGTTTCTGCTTTGGCTGTTTGTGGACCGGCTTTGTTTTGGCGATTCAAGAAGGCTTTGCATTCGGGCGATTCCAAAACCTCCTGCGCTCCTTGCATCTGCGATTGTCCGCCCCCATTATCCCTTTTGAAGATCGCCCCCGGTATACTCTTTAATCTCTTCTTGGCTATCATTTTGAGAAAACGGATTCTCTTGTGGGTTGTTGCTTTGCATTTCTGTTCTTGTTGGCTTAGTTGTGGAATTTAGTGAGATTTACAGATACCCTTTTGAAGGATTTGGTTGTTTGATCTGTTTCCATTGATGATTTTGATTCTGAGCTGTTTGTGTTCTTTGTAAATGGGTGTGGAAGAGTTAACCCTTCTTAGATTTGGATTTCTACTCCATTTCTTCTCTCCTGTTAGGGCTCATAAAGCATGAACAAGGCATGTTTCAGCTTGAATTCTTGGTTTTTGTTAGGAAAATTTCCTGGAATTTGTGTTTTTCTTTACCGTCCTTTTGGAGTAACAGCAATGGGTCGGTAGTTGCCATTTTACTGCTCTTTTTGGATGATTCAGCTCTTAAATGGCGTTCGGATCTGAAATTATGAACATTGATTTGTTTCTTACTCTTCATTTTGAGTTCTTGTTGCTGACCCTCTTTGCTATTTACTCAAAATTTCCTAGCTACCACAACACGTCTACTAGGGAGAGGTTTCCACACCCTTATAAAAAATGTTTCGTTCTCCTCTCCAACTCTCCAACTGAGGTGGGATTTCACCATTCATCCCCCTTCGAGGTCCAGCGTCCTCGTTGGCACTCATTCCTCTCTCCAATCGATGTGGGATCTCACAATTCCCCCACTTCGGGGCCCAGTGTCCTCGCTGGCACACTTTTCGGTGTCCACCCCCTTTAGGGTTTAGCATCCTCACTGGCACACCGCCCAGTGTTTGGCTTTGATAACATTTGTAATGGTTCAAGTCTACCGCTAGCAAATATTGTTCCCTTTGGACTTTCCCTTTCAGGCTTCCCCTCAAGATTTTTAAAACGTGTCTGCTAGAGAGAGGTTTCCATTTCCTTATGAAGAATGTTTCGTTCTCCTCTCCAACCGATGTGGAATCTCACACTATACATCATGCTTACTGTCTATCCTTGATCCACAACCGTTGAATTAGCAATGGCCATGTAGAATTTCTTCATAAATGAATATGATTCTGAACCTAATTCTGTTGTTTGGAAAAGGAAAAACCAGTTTCAATATAGAATGCATATAGTTCCCAAGGCTGGTCCTAGTAGCAAAAGTTTGAGATATTTGGGATAAAATACCTAAGGGTCTCGGGCTCGAGCCTCTAGGGGAAACTCGTCGATGAAGTTTCTCCGTTGAGCATTGTGGTGAGGCTTGATACCATGGGTTTAAAAATGATTTATAGACTGCACATGGTTACTCAATGCTTCTACTTGTCAAATGAATATAAAAATGATATACTATGTAACGGTCCAGGCCTACCGCTAGCAGATATTGTCATCTTTGAGCTTTCCCTCAAGGTTTTTAAAACGTGTCAGCTAGAGAGAGGTTTCTACACCCTTAATAAGAATGTTTTGTTCTCCTCTCCAACTGTCGTGGGATCTGTTGAACTTATCCTTCTTCTCTTATTCGATTCCTGTAGCTTCTCTTATTCGATTCCTGTAGCTGTGATTTGTGTTCTTACTAGATTCATTGTTGCTTCTATACTAACACATCTTTTTTCTTGCTTCTTCTTTTATAGGTCTGGCCAATCTCTCTGTATCAGGTTAGAATTCATCCCTCGAATTCAACTTCACGATGAACTTCCTGTCTTCATTACGTGAAAATCACGACGATGTTTTCCTAGCACTGTCGTGTCGCTTTTCATGGTTGACTGAATTAAACTATTTTTCGTTCAAATTTATATTCTACCTTATCTTCTATACAGGAGAACACAAATGGTATGTTTGAGCTACTTGCATGTTTTTTTCTGTTGTTTTGGAGAAATATGTGCAGCTTTCATTTTTCTCTCATCGTCTATTTCCACGACGCTATGATCTTTTTGAAGGTTTATATTTACTTGTTTTGGGTTCGATGTTTTCGTTCTTCAACGAATCAAAACTCTCTTGAAATAATTTTGTATTCTTTCATTTCATTAACGGGATTCTGATATAGTGTTGTGCACTACGTCCAAACATTTGTCTTCCACCGTTCTTGAGCTAAGGCCTTTAGGCTTATAGCTGCTTCTTATATAGACTGTAAGAGCCCGTTACAAATGGTATCAAAGCCAGATACTGGACGGTGTGCCAGCGAGGACGCTGGACCCCTAAAGGGAGTGGATTGTGAGATCCTACATCCGTTGGAGAGGGGAACAAAACATTCTTTATAAGGGTGTGGAAACCTCTCCTTAGCAGACATGTTTTAAAACCGTGAAACTGATGGCAATATGTTATGGGTCAAAGCAGACAATATCTACTAGCGGTGAGTCTAAACTGTACAGGGACAACTTTCATTCACATTAAGTATTATATGCACCATCGACTGTTTGCAACTCTTATTTGAGCTTGAGACTTCATTTTGTTTAAGCATGGTTTCGAGATTATATCGACTTTTCCTTGACTTCCTTCGATGTATCTCATTTATTTATACGATACAGACTGTGGAGGAAATGACCCAGATCTCAAGCGGGAGATGGAAAAACAATTTGTGGACCTTCTGACAGAGGAATTGAAGCTTCAAGAAGCAGTTGCTGGCGAACATACTCGCCATATGAACATCACTGTATTTGAGGCAAAAAGGGCAGCTTCTCAGTATCAGAGGGAGGCTGAAAAGTGCATTTCTGCAACCGAAACTTGTGAAGAGGCTCGAGAACGCGCCGAGGCATTGACGATCAAGGAGAGGAAGCTTACATCATTATGGGAGCGACGAGCCCGCCAAATGGGTTGGGATGGGTAATATCTCTATCATTTCAAAGACCCGTCTCTTAGTTCAACTAGTCGTCAAGTCCTTCAACCCCACGAGATCAATCGAAACTGACAAGCGAAGTGCTTGGTTCATCAATTTCTCAAGGCATAATGTTCTCTCGTCCCTCCATAATTTGTGTTGCATTGTTCCTGAAAACATGTCAATTCTACATCATAATTCATACATGACAATGTTATAGATCCCACTCTTCTGCATATGCTATATACACACATAATTGTGACCACGTGACCTGTTCTTGGGCGTGTCTAATCCGTTCATGAACTTGGAATACATCGTATTTTTCTCAAAACTGAGCTGTTCTCAGTTTTGGCACCATGTTTACGACTAAAAAGAAAGTAACGATACTTCAAAACGACAAACGACGGTATTAATCGAAAATGGAACCGGAAATGATTTCATTCGTAGAAGAATAGAACGAGTTCTCCTGTCATTATTCTAGCAACAAATCAACCAGGCAAGAAAAATAGCTAATGATAAGAGAACTACATCATCAAAGAAACATGAAGATACAGTGTTGGGATTCTGTTCTAAAAATCATTCCCCTTTTCCAATCATTCAGTAGCAGCAAGAGTCTTCATATACACAACGACCCGAGAGATTGAGTATCAAATCCAAATTCGTCATTTATTTGAATAGATCGATCATGATCCTGCATCACATAGCGACATAAATGAGAAACAACTTGCCGAGCGGTTTCGAGAGCTCCCTGCTCCGTTCGAAAACCAACTATGACCTTACTAACCCTTTACCCGTCCTGCTAATCTAACTAAGTAACCGGTTACATCGAGCCCCACTCTTTTACATTCTGCTAAAACGTATGCTATTCTGTCCTCGTTCTTACATCTTTACGGAAGTATCTTGAACCAAGGGGGAACATTGTTCGAGTAATCCGAATACAACTAGGAGAATAATGAATATAGTTACGAAAAAAGGAAATGTCTTGACGATACCTGTTTCGACAGAGCATTCATCTATTCATCCAGGGAACTAAAACTATAGTGTAGCTTTGTTGGATCCATGAGACTTTTTCCGTCGAAGTTCATCCAAGTCTCCATCATCAACGTTTCTGCGTCTTGCTGAATGAAGGCGGGAGCGTCGCTATTCAACTGGTTAGTCAAAGAGCTACCGATGTTTTCGAGACAGATCACATCGTTCGGATCTGCTGAACTCGGGTCCAAGGGATCTGCAACACTATTCCCAGAAACAAGAGAGTTTCTCAATATAGAACTATGGTTGCCATAGTAATTCTGTTTAGCTGTTTCCCATTGTTGCTTTGATCTGTCATTCATGGCATCGACAACCCGATCCATTAGTTCGTCATAGCATTGCGTCTCCCCTCTTAAATCAAGCTGAGAACTCGAGTCCACGCTAGTCGAAGGAAAACCAACAGGAAAGTTTTCATTATCGGGCTGAGCCGAAGAAATCGTCAAATTAATCGCAGGCATTCCATCAGAAGGGTAAGTTCCAGTGAGCGAGACACCCTGCCAGTTTTTGTTCGACTGACCATGGCCGCCCAAAATATTAGAAATGCCTGTGCTGCAGTCTACGGGTTCCGGGTTGATTGGAGATACCTTATAACAAGACTGATCTCGAAACTCTCCGCTGCCATGACTCTGTTGCTTATGTCCTTGTAACATCAACGAATGGCTTGAAACGCCAAAGTCATAATTACTCGAGCAACCAACAGCCACTCTAGCATCAGGGAAGCTCGTGGAAACGGTAAAACTTGAAACATCATTTATCAAATTCGACTCTTTAAATGGTGCGTTGTGTTTGTCCCAATGCGACTGTATGTGATCCGATGGCGTCGAAATACTGTTGAATATACTCGGCGGTCGGTTTGAAAGCAAGAGAGTTGGATGGGGTTTCCGGAGTATATTCAATGAGCTTCTCAAGTTATGGGAAGCACCCTGTTGGATCATTCCTGAGGAAGCGATACCGTGTAAGCTCAATCCAGCAGTAGAGTTTAATCTACCAACGATTCCTTGAGAGGGATACGACGAGAATGTAGCATTCGAGAGCCTTCCCGTTCCTGTCATTGAAAATCCATTGAGTGAAGCCATGGGCCTGAAGGAGGTGTCTTTACCTCCAAATGCAGCCATCATGTTACATTGCTGAGCTTCCTTAGTACACATTTTTTTAAGGTACTGCCTGTATTTCTGCAATGAATCACAAGAAAGTACAGTTTAGGTAGCCATTCAAACCGAACGAGCTTCACGAATCTCCCACCGAAATTAAGACATAAACGAAAAGAACGAAAAGATCAATGCCTGAAGATGGCTAGCGACGTTTTCTCTTGTGAGTCCTTCGACGTTCATTAGATCGAGGATCTTTTTAGGAACGGCCTCTGCATCAGAAATTTATATAAACATCAAGAAGAAAAAACAAAGCACTAAGCACAAGAATGCATAAAAAAACACCAAAAGACTTACTTTCATAGCCCAAATGATTAACAGCTGCAATAAACTTCCTATGCAGCTCACCGAACCAAACTACCCTTTGCTTTTTTTGGGAGGAGGAGTCGTCGGTCTCATATGCGCTCTCTTCTTCACCTCCTTCCTCATCGTCGTCATCGTCTTTCCGCCTTTTACCAGGTTTCCCGTTATCAGCACTTGCCGCAGATGGGAAACCTTTTACAACTTCAACAGTTTGACATAGAGTGTCATTTCCATTAGTGCACTCGTTTTGGTTCTTAGCTGAGGAAGTCTTTCTTCGGAGGACGTGCTGCCATATATTCTTCAGCTCCTCAATTCGAACGGGTTTCAGCAAATAATCACAAGCACCGTGAAAAACTCCCTTCTTTACAAGCTCGGTATCGCTATGCGCAGACAGCACTAGAACCATATTTGAACAGAGAAATGCAATCAAAACCAACCCTTCCATCAATTCAACACAATTAAATTTATATCTGCATCTATACATAAAGACCTGAATGACAACGGTAAGACCGAGATAAAGTAATAAAGAAAGAAATCAACTAGAACATCGTAGAGGAGAAGCGTTCAATCTCACTGATAACGGGTAGGTCCATTTCAAGGCCTACGAGCTCGAGGAGCTTAAAACCATCCATGTCTGGCATGTTCACATCACTGATAACCAAATCAAACTTGTTTCTGTTTTCCCTCAACATTTTAAGTGCCTGAATCGCCTGATTCGTTGTTGTAACTGCGATAAATAACATAAGCTCGAGGATAAACATCAATATGCAAAGCCATTGGAACCCAAAAAACAATCAGTTCATTAGCATCCTTAAACGCCAAAGTCAAAGTGTTTAAGGTGACTTTCGAAACGACGAAAGGTACTTTTAAAACATTTTCAATATTTCACGATGTTTGGTCGTTTATTCAAAAGAGATTCTAAAAATAGGACACCAAAGATTCACTTAAAAAGAAGCATATGATTAAAGATTCCACCAAAAAGTATCCATAAAAAAAGTGTCTAAAAACAATACTCAAACTCACTCAAGACATCACAAGGTAATCATCAAGAACCTAAAAAATAATCCAACAATCCAAAATCAGACAGATTTGGACTTACTATTTCCAGACAGACAAACATGTTCATAAAAGAAATGTTTCAAAAACAAGACAAAAGGTGTTCTTAGGATCAAACAATGTTCTTCAAACACATAAACAAGATTCACTGACAAAGAACACAACATTTGAACAAAGAACAAACCAGTAAGCATTTGCGAGTCAGAAACATTCAATAAACAAAGATTTCCTAAAAAAAAAGACACCAAATCCAACAAAAACTTACCATGATATTGACATTTACGAAGCAAATTCTCCAAAACCTTAAGGCAAATGGGGTCATCATCCACAGCAAGAACACGCATACCAATAGGAAACTGATCCATAACCCCATTTTCACCCACCAAATTAGCTCTTCGATCCTCCACAGTCATAGTGAACCTAAAACCCACACGACCCACAACAACAACAAAAAAAACCTCAAAATCCTCAAAATCATGAGCAAAGAAACAAAGCCGACAAGATGGGTATGTCTAAAAAACAAAGAAGAAAGGGGGAATCATTGTCTCCGACCAGAAAAACAAACCTTAAACTTCACGCTCTGTTCTTCTTTCTTCTTCTTCTTCTTCCCCCTCTTCTGGGTCTGTGTGAAACCCAAAATTCCTTCGGCAGAGGACAAGAACAGCAAATATTTTTACAAGACAATGTCAAATGGGGGCATAAAAATTAGTGCTTTGTTCCCTTTTTATGCCATTTTGCAGCCTTCATTTTCCTTTCTCTTTTTCTTATGGTAATGTCCCTTTCTTTAAGCCTCTATATTATTGGAGGCTCCCTGAAAGTTCTGATCGTGTGCATCTCGACTCCACCTTTACTCCCATGTGACCCTTCTCTCTATACATTAATGTTTGAAAATGCACTCCCAATAGTTTCATTACTTGGAGTTAAGAGCCCTTCACGCAATAAACAAAATATTCTTTATTCCATTTATGACTTTGGGAAACCACAAAAATCCATTTTTTGACCCAATCCATTGCTGTCTTAAATTAACTTTTTCCTTTTCTTCGTCACTTCTATATATTTTCGATCGAGAAAACAAATATTCGAATTTTTTCCACTTCACGTGTTCTTTAAGCCAAGTAAGAAAGCTATATATATATAACAATTTGTTTGACTATGCACGCCGTAGAAAAATAAATAGGCATGTTAAAAACGCTATCAACTTATAATATTATCACTTTCATTATTTAACGAACATACTGTTATTAATATTAGAAATTAAATAGAGTTCAAAGTTCTATTTTTGGTAAATTATAAGTTTAATCTATTTTTTTAAAAAAAAATTGTATTTAATAAAGTTTTAATATGTTTTTAAGCTTAGTTTTTTTTTTTTAATTAACAAGTTTATTAGCCATAATTCTTTTTATAAATTTTAAAAAGTGTCAAAAAATTTATATGAAAGTATTTTATAGATAAAATTAAAATTTTAGAAATTTATATTTAATGATATATTAGATATAAAATTATATTAACTAAATATAATTATCAAAATTATGGTAGTTTATTTTTCATACCATAAATAACTTGCCACATTCCATTTTTATCCCTCTAATTATCAATGAATATTAATGAAATATATATAATTCTTTCTTGGATTAGTAAAATTTCAAGTACATAACTATTTTTATTTTTATTTTTTTAATTTTAAAAATGATTAATTTATTAAATTTATAAATTTTAAAACGTGCAAATCTTCAATATTATATAGTAAAAAAAAACATTTGAAAAACGTTTAATAAGTTGTTGAGCTTTAAATTATATGCTTAATAATTTCAAATGTATTTGAAAAATTTTTAATCTAAAAATATAAAATTAATTTTTTTAGAAGTGTTTGATTCTTATTTATTCTTCTAAAAGGAAATTTTACTTATAAATTAAGATAATATAATGAATATATTTCTATAATATTTCTATAAATTACATAAAGTTTCATCTCTATTAAGATTGATTTCTTTAGATATAGAAAATGAAAGCACTTTGAAGGAAGAATGTATCATATGAACAATTTGGAGGAAGCTAATGGCTACTTTTGTACATCAAATGCTCCTCATTCAACAAGCTCTCATCACCAACAACAGAGATCCAACTTTCAGTGATCTGATCCACCCGCCCATCTGAAATGTCGATTACAGTGAATGCTCGCTTGGAACGCCTTGGAACGGGCTGGGAAGAGGACGTTTCGCTACTCGTGAAGGTTGTTCTTCCCTCGCCTTCTTCATCGAAGTTACTATGAACCCTTGGAACTATAGCTCCGTTAAGGTAAATGGTATTGTCTACTGCAACGACTATCATTTTACGATGACCCCCGCCGTATGCGAGTTCTTTATGCATATGCCCGAACACAACCAACGGAGGGACGTGAAATTTTCCGTTCTCTTTCAAGCAGGATATGGCTTGTGCTAGATCTGTACCAGAGCAACATGTATTGGAATGATAAAGTCCCCATTTCTAAAGTAACTTTGGAAGAGATATTTACCTTCATCACCATTGTCTCCACCCCCAAATACCCAATCCTTTCCACAAATGTCATTTGCACAAGAACCAAGACCTGGAAAACAAGAAACACGAAATCGTTTGGTCGATAAGAGCAATAGATGAATGCATCTCGAATAGGATTTAATCATCTTTGGCTGATAAATCGCACCAGAAGGCCCGTTATGTGCAAGAATTATAACCAAATGATCTTTGGGCGCGCCTATCGCAGCTTCGTATATTCTCTTCGCACTTGTTTCCATGTCTTTGACGCCATATCTAAGGGGACAAAACCCAATTTTTAGACAGCTTTAGAATTCAAAATGGTCACTAGGGTTGAAGAGACTAGTAATGTGAGATCCCACGTCGATTGAAGCGAGGACGTTGGGCCCAGAAAGGAGGTGGATTGTGAGATTCCACATCTATTGGAGAGAGAAACGAAGCATTCTTTATAAGGGTGTGGAAATCTCTCCTTAGCAGATGCGTTTTAAAAACCTTGAGGGGAAGCCCGAAACGGAAAGTCCAAAGAGAACAATATCTGCTAGTAGTGGGCTTGGGCTGTTACAAATGGTATCAGAGCCAACACCGAGCGGTGTGCCAGCGAGAACGCTGTCCCCGAAGAGGGTGGATTGTGAGATCTCACGTCGATTGGAGAGAGGAACGAGTGCTGACAACGAAGTTGGATCCCAAAAGGAGGGTGGATTGTGAGATCTCACATCGGTTGGAGAGGGGAACGAAACATTCTCTATAAGGGTGTGGAAACCTCTCTCAAGCAAATGCGTTTTAAAAATCTTGAGAGGAAGTCCGAAAGGAAAAACCCAAAGAGGACAATATATGCTAGCGGTGGGCTTGGGTTGTTACAAGTAATATGTTCACGGGAAGCTCTAAAGGTAGTTAGGATAAAGCAGCTAAGGTTTCATTAAGAGAGTAATCCAACTGGTTGATCAACAGTTCTGTTAAACTAAAAGTTTGATCTTAAAAGTTCAGAATAACAAGGAAAATTTAATATTAAGGTAATTAGAACTGGAATTGAACTAACTAACGATGTTTTAGTCCATTTCAAAAAGAACCGATGAGAAATGATAAGTACCTTGCGGAAAGAAGCTGCCTCCTAAACAACCTTCCACCATGGGAAAAAGGTCGTCCACCGACAATGCTTAGTTTTAGCTCAGGGAAGTCCACATGTCGGTAAGCGATATGGTCCTTGCCAAGACTGTTGACAGAGAGATGAACATTTTCCCTTTATTCTGGCAGTTAAACCAAGCATGAATCCAGACTAGAACATGCATACAGTTACGAAACATCTACTGAAAATATGTTCGAATGACTTAGCTTCCACATCGCAACAAACAAGCTAAGAGCTAGCTCGAAGCGAATAGGAAAAACCCATATCGCTAACCGTGAGTATTTTTGTAATAGCCCAAGCCCACCGCTAGCAAATATTGACCTCTTTAGGCTTTCCCTTCAAGAACTTCCCCTCAAGGTTTTAAAACGCATCTACTAGGGAGAAGTTTCCAACCCTTATAAGGAATGTTTCGTTTCTCTCTCCAACCAATGTGGGATCTCACAATCCCCCTCCTTGGGAGCCCAGCGTCCTCACTGGCACACCGTCCAGTGTCTGGCTCTAATACCATTTGGAACAGCTCAAGCTCACCGCTAGCCGATATTATCCTCTTTAGGCTTTCCCTTCAAGGACTTCCCCTCAAGGTTTTAAAACGCGTATGATAGGGAGAGGTTTCTACACCCTTATAAGGAATGTTTCGTTCCCCTCTCCAACCAACGTGGGATCTCACAATTTCTAAATTGAATCATAACATTCTAAAAAATTTATAAACAACCTCGTGCAATGCATATTGATTTTCATTTTCTTTTCAGAATTTCTCAAGCCTCCTAATTGTATCAATTAATCATACGTATGAAATAGACTCACCATTCTAATTGGAGTTGAACACCATCCTTTTTCCTGAAATTTCACATTCAAATCAGGAGTTAAGTTAATATATCACATCAACAACATTAAGAAAAAATTGGTTTACTTGCAGCATATCAAATGCCCCAACACTTCATCTCTCACAAACAAATATCTGGACAGAACATTACTCTTCACATATTGGAACCAGATATTGGAATGAATCAATTTCCAATGTAACCAAAAATCTTTGACTTAATGAAAATAATAACTTATAATAAGAAGGGGCATAGCTGTACATACTCTTGAGAAAAGCATGGCGTAAACCAAGCATCATGGTTTCCCAGAATAGCTAGCTTTGCAAATTTAAGCTCTGCAATACTTCGAACCAGTTCGACGTTCTCTTCACCAAAATCGCCTGAAGAGAATCAAGATGGTGAAGGAAGGTGATAAGAAATGAGAAAAAAAATTGGAATATGCATATGTAACAAAGCAAAATCTGTGGTCTCTTAGATATCAGAGGATCCAATAACATGCTCAGTGTTCTTCTTTTCAGATTTTTAATAATAATCTTTTATTACCATTATTATTATTACCAGCAACCAGGAAAAGGGGGGAGTATATAACAATCTCAAAGGTAGAGGCAAGAAGCATGGAAGCACAAGATAGAGAGAGAGAGAGAAAAGAACATGCCTGTAAAGAGCACTAAGTCTGGCTGCATTAAGACATAAACCAACGTTAGAAAGGGAAGGAAAAACATGAATCAGAGTTGAATTGAAAGAAGAAATTGAAGAACAATGAAGTGCAGGAAGAAATAGGTTTAGGATTGGGAGATAAATCCAAGATTCCAAAGGGAATAGCTAGGGTAGTGTTTAGGATAGTTCATCTGTAACAGTCCAAGCCCACCGCTAACAGATATGATCTGTTTTGCCCCGTTATGTATCGCCGTCAACCTCACGGTTTAAAACGCATTTACTAGAGAGAGGTTTTCACACTCTTATAAGGAATGCTCCATTCCCCTCTCCAACCAATGTGGGATCTCACATCATCCTTAAGATTTGTAGAGTCCTACGTGTCATTCCACCCCGATGAGAAACTTTATTTAAACCAGCATACTATATATATCCTCCAAGAGTAGAAACATCCATTTAAAATCTCGTTTATTTAATTAGATAAGCTGGAATGAGAGTTTCTAAGAAGGAAAAAACAATGACCCATTCATTAAGCTAATAGTTCTAATTCAATGCAGTGGCATTTCCAACTTCTAAGCATGCAAAACACTATAGTATGTCATCATGCTCGCATCCTTTTGAAGACCAGCCAACCATAACGACTCAATTTTCAGTCAGATTGGTTTGGTAGGCCGTTGGAACCTAAAGAGCTCCATCAGGACAGTCTTCAAAATTCATTCGGTAGGGAAGGGATCCTCGAGCAAGTAAGAATTTGATCAATTATAGAAGTCTTAGTAGCACCAGCCCACAATATAGCTCCTCAGTTTCTAACATCAAATAGGGTAAACTCAAATACTGATCCTATTCCTACGAGATTAATCATAATATGTACAAGTATACATGAACACGGTATGTAACAGCCCAAGCCCACCGCTAGCAGATATTGTCCTCTTTGAACTTTTCCTTTCGGGCTTATCCTCAAGGTTTTTAAAACACATCTGCTAGGGAGAGGTTTCCACACTCTCATAAAGGGTGTTTCATTCTTCTCCCCAACCGATGTGGGATCTCACGCTGTAAATATGAGAAATTATATACATAATTGAAAGTTAACCATCCAATATTGCTGCAAGTTCATCTCATTGACTTCGATCTTACAAAAGAAGTTACAGCTCTTAAAACTAAACACTTCTCCACTGAGTTAAGGGAAAAAAAAGTCTCAACCCAAACCACCCAATTGAATTTTCTGCAGACTGGAAGTAGTTTCATTTCTTAATCGATTCAACCAGCATCGGGTTCACGTCAAGAAGGGCCGTAAACAATAAAAGGTTTAGAGAGCTTAAGATTTAATATCTTACGAGTTATCTAGGTAACCAAAAAAAAAATTGATTGAGAAACAAAGAGATTATGTTTCACTCAGACCCCAACTCATAGGAGCTAATGATGTCCTGTACTGACACTTAAAACAAAAGAGGAGATGCAATGGTTGAACCAGGAATCAAAAACCAGAACCATTACAAAGCTCAATCAATCGGTGTAAGTATTCTCTAGACAAAAGTTTCAATAATAAGATTATAATTCAGCTAAACTACGGATTACAGAAAGAAAACTTACCTGCAATAGTTGAAGTGCCTTGGTGTCTTCTCGTAAATCCCAATCCCCATGCTAGAAACCGTAAAGAGTAAGCAGGACAACACATTTAAAGAACAGAACAGCCATAATTTCCTCGAAACAAAAATTAATGAAAAAAAAATTTCTTATCTCTTCCCTTAAATTAAGTGTATTAATCATTCCATTACATAAAAATGAACTCGAATTTACCAAAATCAACAGTTGAAAAAGAGAAAGAAAAGCTTACAACGTCACCGACGACGGCAATTCGAGCAAAGACAGCCATTAGAGAGAAGCGATGAAGGCTGCGATTAGGTAAAGAGGACGGAGGAGGAAGAGCAGAGAAAAAATAGACGAATGGCGCGGGGCTCAACGCGCGCAGCATTTGGTCGCCGGTTTTATTCCGGCGACTACTTTTCCACGCTTTTTTTTTTTTTTTAATAAGAAAAATAAATAAATAAATAAATAAATAAATAATATATATTATATAATATATTATATATATATATATATATTTATCATTGACTATTGAATGAGGGTGGGATGTGACATTTTTTTAATAAAATATGAAAAAAAATCTCAAAAATCACCAAAGACAGCCAGTTGGAAGAAAACTCTTTGAGTATTGTACAAGCTATTTAATTTGACAATAGAATAGTTTTTTGGTCAACTTTTTCGTTCTGAAAGACTTCGTGGCTGACAACACGTACACTCAAGAACTAGATGAATGATTGGTTTAAATATGTTCATTGATACGGGAATGTCTTGAATTCCTCGAATCTTTCCTTAATTAACTGATTTTTGTGAGAACTCATATTGGTTGGGGACACAATCTCACATGGTTGGGGAGAGAACAGAACATCTTTTATAAGTGTGTGGAAACTTTTCTCTAGAAAACGTGTTTTAAAGCCTTGATGGGAAGCCCAAGCAGAAAAACTCAAAGAAATATTTGTTGGCGGTGGATATGGTACATTACAAATGGTATCAGAGCTAGACATTGGACTATGTGCCAGCGAGGAGGCCCCTTCCCCGAAGGGGTAGACATGAGGCGGTGTGCCAGTAAGGACGCTGGACCCCGAAGGGGCTAGATTTGGTGGGGGTCCGAACGAGTGTCAGCGAGGAAGCTGGGCTCCGAAAGGGGTGAATTGTGAGAACCCAAATTGGTTGGAGGGGTAGATTTGGTGGGGTCCAAACGAGTGCTAGTGAGGAAGCTTGGCCCTAAAGGTGTTGAATTGTGAGAACTCAAATTGGTTGGAGAGAAGAACGAAGCACAAGGGTGTGGAAATGCTTCCGTAGAATACGCGTCTTAATAAAGCTTCGAGGGGGGAGTACAATATCCACTAGAATGGATCTGGGCCGTTACATTTTTCCTCCGAGCTTTCCCGACCCCAACCTCATCCCATCTCCTCCTGCTCTCCCCTTCCTTCCCTCTTAATCCCAATTATTGGTCCTTTTAAGTCTTATGCAACATTAATAATGATACATTAAACAAACAATAATGAATGAAAAGTCAAGTTAATCACCTTAGTCAAATGGGTTTCATTTTTGAAAAAAAAAAATCAAAACTTGTGGATGAACATCAACAAAGATCATCAAAAAAATGTAAATTTCGTACACACAAACACCAAAATCTCCTCATGGTATCAAAACCCTTCATTAGTGCTCTCTTGTTCTTCACGTTCTTACAAGCTTCCAAAGCTCAGCCATGGATCAAAGCTGGGTATTGGCTATCAGCAGCTGGTTCCCCTTCATCCGACATAAACTCACCTCTGTTCACTCATCTTTTATGTGGGTTTGCAGAGCTCATAAACTCCACTTCTTATGAGCTTCATTTTTCATCCTCTGAGCTTCAAAATTTCTCTAACTTCACAGCAATTGTCAAGCAAAAAAACCCTTCTCTTTCCACTCTTCTCTCCATTGGCGGCGGAAATGCAGATTATCATGTTCTATCCTCAATGGTTAGCAATTTCACTCATAGAAAGGCCTTCATTGATTCCACCATTAAACTTGCAAGAACCCATGATTTTGATGGGCTTGATTTTTGTTGGGTTTCATCCAACACGACATCCGACATGTCCAACATGGGGAAACTCTTTGAAGAATGGCGACAAGCAGCTGAAACAGAGGCCAGAATCTCAAAAAGGCAAGTGCTTATTTTGACAGCAGCTGTTCAAAACACTCCAGATTTGGAATTTGGGTCATATCCTGTTGATTCCATAAGAAATAACTTGAATTGGGTTAATTTTTTGGGTTATGATTATTACATGCCAAGTTTTTGGCCAAATTTTACAGCTCCTTTTGCAGCTTTGTATGATCCATTATTGAATAAAACAAACACAGACAGTGGAATTAGTCAGTGGATTGCAAAGGGATTGCCTGCTGCTAATATTGTTTTGGCTTTGCCCTTTTATGGCTATGCTTGGACACTAAAAAATGTTGAGGATTTTGGTGTTGGAGCAGCTGCCATTGGGCCAGCCATTTCTGCTGATGGGTCGATTACATACAAGGATATAAAGGATTATATGAAGAGCAACAGGGTTGATAATGTGGAGTTTAATGGTAGCTATGTGATGAGTTTTTGTGTGGTTGGATCTACTTGGATTGGGTTTGATGATGCTAAGGTTGTTAAAATTAAGGTTAATTATGTCAAACAAAGGAGGTTGCTTGGTTACTTTGTTTGGTTGGTGTCTAATGATGACAATTGGGAGCTCTCTTCTATTGCAGGTTGGAGTGTTTTTTCTGAATTCTAGACTTGAAAAATGAATTGTTTACATTTGAATTGATCAAGTTCTTGAACTTTTGGTTGCAGCTAGCGAGTTTGGGAATGAGAAAGAAAACAAAGTATCTTTGTTGATAGTTATCCCAACCACAATTGGTGGTGCCATTGTTCTTCTCTTACTAGGGTTCTTGTTGTTTAGAAGACTCAAATCCAACAAATCCAAAGGTAATCGTCTTTTTTTGTTTGTTTCGTGATGGATTTGTCTTAATACAATGATATCTTTTATTGGGTCGTGAAGATTTGAGTCTCTGACCTTAAAAGAAGAGTTGATGTTCATTAAGACTCACTGAGTCGTGGTGTGAGATCCCGCATCGGCTGAGAGGGGAACGAAGCATTCCTTATGAGGGTGTGGAAATCTCTCTCTAGTAGACGCGTCTTAAAACCGTGAGGTTGATGGTGATACGTAACGGGCCAAAGTGGACAATATTTGATAGTGGTGCGTTTGGGCTGTTAGAAATGGTATTAGAGTTAGACATCGAGCGGTACGCCGGCGAGGACGTTGGGCCCTTAAGGATGGTGGATTGTGAGATTCTACATCTGTGGTGAGGGGAACGAGGCATTCTTTGTAAGGGTGTGGAAATCTCTCCTTAGTAGACACGTTTTAAACCCGTGAGACTGACAGCGATACGTAATGGACCAAAGTGGACAATATTTGCTAGTGGTGGGCTTAGACTGTTACAAATGGTATCAGAGTCAGACACTGGACGGTGTGTCAGCGAGGATGCTGGGCCCTTAAGGAGGGTGGATTGTGAGATTCTATATCGGTTGGAGAGTTAAACAAAACATTCCTTATAAGGGTGTGGAAATCTCTCCCTAGTAGATACGTTTTAAAACTATGAGGCTGATGACGATACGTAATGGGCCAAAGCGGACAATATCTACTAGTGGTGGTCTTGGACTGTTACAAATAGTATCAGAGTCAGACACCAGGCGGTGTGCCAGCGAGGACACTGGGCCCTTAAGGAGGGTGGATTGTGAGATCCTACATCGGTCAGAGAAGGAAACAAAGCATTCCTTATAAGGGTGTAAAAGTCTCTCCTAGTAGATGCGTTTAAAAACTATGAGGCTGATGGCGATACGTAACAGGCCAAAGCAGACAATATCTGCTAGCGGTGGGCTTGGGTTGCTATACATGCTCGTGTCGGTTGAGGATAAGTTTTTGTTAAAAAAAACTTATGTTTTTCTTTACAATTCGTTATAAGATCTTCATGAAATAATTTTCCATGGTTGAGCGTGGTGCTGATAGATGCAGGAAGAAGATCAAAATTCAATATAAAAAATCTTGTTGGAGGAGAAGATTTTAAGAACAGTGCTCCTGATTTGCAAGTGTTTAGCTATGCTGAGATTGAGAGAGCTACCAACAAATTTGCTTTCATGAATAAACTTGGACAAGGTGGCTATGGCCCCGTTTATAAGGTACATATATAACTGCTACCCACCACAAAATCTTTGATATCAATATGAACTGTCCTTAGTCCTTTTAAGTATAGTATAGTATATCCTACGACTAGGATGATATCAAAAAAGTTCGAAAAATCAACTAAAATGGTGTCAGTCGGTTGGAGGAGTTAGAAAAGTGAAGCATATGTGTAAGATCCCACGTCGGTTGGAGAGGGGAACGAAGTCTTGCTTTGCTTATAAGGGTGTTAAAACCTCTCCCTAATAGACGCGTTTTAAAACCGTAAGGCTGACGATGATACGTAACGGGCCAAAGCGGACAATATCTGCTAGCGGTGGGATTGAGCTGTTACAAATGGTATTAGAGCTAGACACCGGGCGGTGTGCCAGCGAAGACGCTGGGCCCCCAAGGGGGGTAGATTGTGAGATCCCACATCAGTTGGAGAGGGGAGCAAAGAATTGCTTATAAGTGTATGGAAACCTCTTCCTAAAAGACGCGTTTTAAAATCATGAGGCTGATGGCGATACGTAACAGACCAAAATAGACAATATTTGCTAGCGGTGGCCTTGATGACTGCTACAAATGGTATCAGAGCCAGACACCGAGCGGTGTGCTAGCAAAGACGCTGGGCTCCCAAGAGGGGTGGATTGTGAGATCCCACATCGGTTGGAGCGGAGAACGAAACGTTGCTTATAAGGGTGTGGAAACCTCTCCCTAACAGACACGTTTTAAAACCGTGAAGCTGATGGCTATGTATAACAGGCCAAAGCGGACAATATTTGCTAGCGGTGGGTTTGGGCTGTTACAAATAGTATCAGAGCTAGACATCGAGCGGTGTGCCAGGGAAGACACTGGCCCCCAAAAGGGGTCGGATTGTGAGATCCCACATCGGTTGGAGAGGAGAACGAAACATTGCTTGTAAGGGTGTGAAAACCTCTCCCTAACAGATGCGTTTTAAAACTGTGAGGCTGATGACTATACGTAACGGACCGAAGTAGACAATATTTGCTAGAGGTGAGCTTGGACGGTTACAATATGTCTTAGTATTATGATGATATGAACCTACAACTTAAAAAAGAACATAAATTCGTGTTTTAGCTACTCAATTATGTTCGGATTTGAATCTCGAGCCGTATTTCAAGTACTTAGAACAGGTGCATTCTACTTTGCAGGGAGTATTAGGAAATGGACAGGAAATAGCAGTGAAAAGACTGTCAGCAACTTCAGCACAAGGTTTTGAAGAGTTCAAGAATGA